AGTTTACTTTGGGACTTTAGGTCTGTTACAGATTTTTGTCTAGTGTCCCAAAACTAACAAGCATCTTTATCCATTAACTCACATTTAATCACAATGGGGCTGGAGAAAAGGAACAAAGGTTATGCAGTCCCACACAGTCACTATCTCAGTTCTTACAGAATCATATTAAATTTTTAGGACGTCACTATTATCACCTTGTAATGTTAACAATCTTCATTTTTCTAATGTGCAGACTTTCTTGATTCTCTTTGAATTAGCTGAAACCACTGACTTAGTTAGAAATTCTTTGATGCCAGGAGGTATTCCCCTGAAATACTGAGGTTGTAGGAAGGGACTGGAGGCAACTAGTTAATTCATTTAGTCAACTGAAGGCAAATTCTAATGCCCACTTTGAATCGCTAGAGATGGGAAGATATTTGTTCTGGCCCAGTGGAACCCATTAAATTCACAATTTCAGTTTACATCACTCTGATTTTTCAGATACTCCTAGAAAAGTAGGTCATCAAATTTACCTGTCACTCAAGTGGTAAGGATGACATGGGAATTAGACAGCAGTGAAAGGTAATGGAATTTATGAGTCTTATCAGTGATCAGCCCCAATAGAATAGGAAAGGTGGCCAGCTGCTGTTCTGGCCCACAGCTGTGTTAGCTCAGCAGCCTGGTATATGTTGGGCTTGAAGGCGTTGAGCATACAGGCAGGACTGGGGGGACAGATACTCTCATTTTCCAAGTAAGAGGCTTTTGGCAAATTTTCCTTTTTGGCAGAGAAGCCTAAGTGTGCTAGTTGAAGAAATGCTTGTTAAAACGCAATACAAATGAGATGCCTTTTTTTTCTTCTCTTAAATTTATTTTAGAGGGCATTAATTAGCCCTAGGGTTTTTTCTTCTTATAGAGATCCTAGAGCATATACATAAGTGAAAATTTTTATTTACAATTTTTTCCAGAAAATGAAGATTATTGGTATAGTCCAATAATCTGGAACTGGTCTCTGATTCAGAATAAGTGTCTTGTATTTCTGAGCTCCAGCCTGGGTATTATTTATGAGTTTTTTAAGGGGTATGTTGAAGAATGTTTGAAACACTCCACTCTCTGCTTTGGCAGCCTAGGTGGCAGGATACCTCTGAATCTGACATTAATTTACTGAGTTTAGTTGACTGTACTGCATTAATGATTCCTGAGGTTGCTAGCAGCAGTTACTTGACAGCACCATGCTGAACCAGCCAGCGCCTGAGTAGGCCCTTCTCCCACTGTGATGAGAGAACATTTAATTGGATTTATAATTGAAAACAGATTTCTCTATCATGGCAAGATGGTGAGAATGGCACCCATCTGTAGTGCAATTTGCATCAACCCCCTTTATGCATGTGGTGATTATTAGAAATTCCTACTCATATAAGGAGCATGCCTAATTTCTAAGGTATAGATTGTTAAAACCATTCATTGCCCTAGGTGGGCTTATCCTTTGGGCAAAGATCTTAAGTTTTCCTGATTCTCCTGTTAAAATGATAGAAATGCTGTTTAGTGACTTTTAACTACTGTGTAGTGCTTATGTTTCATGCAGTCTAATTTAGAGGAGTCCAGTTGAAATCTAAGTATTATAAAGGCCAGTGGTCTTTAAAACCCAAGACCCAAGCTAAAGAGTGCCATCTACTGTTCTTGTTGACAGTGCTGGAAAGCACTGCAGGGGAAGAAGATGCTTGAGAAAAGGCCCAGCCTGCTTTTTCTGGGAAGACTTGGTGTTTCAGCTCAGTGGTTACCTAAGTACGTGTTACTTGCAAGTAGGCATATTAAAAATCAGTGAGATTTTATGTCCATATTGTCCTCATGCAGCATGTGAGCCACTTGAACCTGTTGGCATTATATAAGTACTTTGAGCTACTTGTCTCCCCAAGTGAGGGAGAATTTAAGAACTTTAAGCAAACAGATTGTCCAGTGGGATTTGATTATTGCCAAATTTAATTTATTGCTTGTGAACTTTAGGATTAAAAACAAGTCTTTCTTACATTGTTCCCTGAAGAAGACTTAGATTCAGTAGTATTTTTTTATTTAAACTATGTTCATTTGTGTGTTTTAAAAGAATTTTAAAGGAAAGGGAGACATAAACATTTTCTCCTGAGATATGGAGTTGTGGGTCATTTACCCATGTTTTTATAAGTTTGTAGTGAACCGATTACTTTTACAACTTAAAAAAGCCTTATTGAGATATGCCACATATAATTTACTCCTTTTAAGTATACAACTCAGTGACTTTTTAGTGTACTGTTTTCAGAGTGTACAGCCATCACTATAATCAATTTTAGTACATTTTCATCATCTAAAAAAGAAATCCCATATCCAGTAGCAGTCCCTCCTCACTACTTCTCACCAATCTTCCTAGCCCCAGGTAACCAGTAACCCATAATCTACTTTCTGTCTCTGTAGATTTGCCTATTCTGAACACTTCACATAAATGGAACCGTACAATATGTAGCCCTTTGTGACTGGTCTATTTAGTGTGACATGTTCAGCATTCATCAGTGTTGTGGCATGTATCAGAACTTTATTCCTTTCTATTGCTAAATAATTTTTCTAACTTTGAAATTGCTTAAAATTGCCTAATTAGGAAACACTTGAGGTTTTAATAACACCTTGAAGTAGACTATGAGTATGATTTCTGCTCTTGAAAAAGGATCTCATCAGAGTATGGCTTACTGAGATTGCTGGGTTTTTTCCCATTTAAGAGCCTGAGGAAAGATAGTTGGCTCTTTGAGCTGTCTGCCTATAAGAGCAGTTTGTGACTCATGAAATCTCAGGAGATTTTGTAAAGCAATCTACTGTGGGCCAGGTAAATGTTTCAGTCCCATCAGTGGGATCTGTGTGAAAAGAATCTTCAAGCCAGGCAAGAATATACTATTGTTGCAATCATAAGTCATTGAGACAACACATTTTTCTCTACTTCAGCATCTTTTGTGCCAGATTATTTAGGATCTGTGTCAGAAAAGGGAATTAGTCCTTCATTATTGTGTAGTGAAATTAGTGTAGATTTTTTTAACCTTAATCTCCACACTATTCAGATATTTAAATTATAAATATTAACTTGTTTTGTCAAAGAGTATGCATTTATCATCTTGTTGGTAACCTTATAGAGGCCTCTCTGATGGTATGATAGTTCAGAAAGATGCATATAGCATTTGTTGTTACTGTTGGTATATAAGATTATTGCCTTCTTTAATGCTGAGAGGACTTGAAGCTAACTCAGTATTTTGGAGCCAGGCTGTTTATTAAGGTGCTTAAAATCTACTACTTTTTTGTAATAGTACAGAATATCTGAATTGGAGCCCCTTGAGTGATGCAGTTGCTGCCTCTTGTTCCTCACACAGACACCAGAACAATGGAGCTGTTATTGCCCGCTGTGGACAGCCAGAGGTCAGCTGGTGGGGCTGGCGAAATGCAGATGATGAACACCTGGTACAGTCAGTAGCCAAAGCATGTGCTTCTGACTCCCGATCAAGTGGCAGCAAACTGTCAGCTAGAAACAGTTCTCGGGACTTTCCCAGTGCGGGAGACCTTTCTGATGTGGAATTTGGTAAGGTGCTCCCTAGATTCATGGCGCTAGTCATTATAGTGTCTGAGGACCTTTTCTTGAAATGGCCTTTTCTTAGAAAATACAAGTCATTTTATAGAAGAGAGAGACTCTGATGGGTTTGAGAAGTCATGGCTCTTGGCAAAGAACTAGAAGGCCCTTTGTTTTCAACTTTGTTTAAGAGCCTAGAGTGTTTTTCTTCTTCACCAGTGTGACAAGAATAGAGTACATGTTTGGTGGGGACTTGAATTGTCTGCAGTCCATGGAAGGAGATATCAGGCTTGGTGAAAGGACTACAAGCATGGAAATCACATGTAGGATATTGAGCTATATAGTTCTCCATGTGTGCTACAGGAGTTGGTTTTGGAAAATAAATTCTCATCAGCTTTTAATAAGGCAAAAGAGAAAATAGAAGCCCTGCATATTAATGATCTGGTTAGGAATTTTTTTACTTGAGTGTTGGGGGGGACACTATAATGACCTTCTGGTTCTAATTTTTACAGTTCTTGGAGAAACAGGCTCATTTAGTTTTTATCCCTTTCCTGATATCCCTAGATTCTTCTCTATCAAATGCTTCAGGAGCAGAGAGCTTATCTATCCAGCCACAGAAACTTTTGATCTTGGATGCACGCTCCTATGCAGCAGCTGTAGCAAACAGAGCCAAAGGAGGAGGCTGCGAATGCCCAGGTGAGATGTTTGGTGCTTTACCCTCTGATACTGGACTCCTTGTGAGTCCAGCGCATGCTCAACTGGGACTTAGCCCTCAATTTGAAATGAACGACAAGCCATATTCTTCACCCTGTCTTGAGACAGCCAGGATTCTTAATAGTGTGTGTTCTTTTTCAGTCAGAAATGGAGGAGGAGGTACAGTGAAGCCAAATCTTCCTTCCTTCTGCCAGCCTTTAGGTGATAATGTTGAATGCAAATCTTCTTCCATAATGCTTCTTTAGTGGCTCAATTTCTCAGCCTTCTGAAAGTGGGTATGCTCATCTCTGGCCTCCAAGCAAACTCCTCACAGGGCTTCTCCTTAGAAAATCTGGTATGATAATCAAAGCAGTAAATACCGAATTCCAGTAAGATGCCCCTGTCCTAACCTATAATGCCTCTGTTTGAATGCTGACTTCCTCAGGGCAGGACCCCCTCAGTGGCAGTTGTGTGCTGATGGTGCAGATAGAGGCACACAGCTCTTCATTCGAATTTAAACTGAGCTAGAAATTGAAAGCAGCTGTACCAAGGTGAAATTTGAATGCCTAAAGACATTGTTCTGCCAAATTCTTTTCAAAGCAATTCCAGAATCACAAGTTAGATGAGGCCCGGGAAGTAAACCTGGAGTCAAATGGAAGTTTACAGGCCTTTCTTTTTAAAAATGACAGCTTATTTTGTGTGAGTACCTTCTTTATAGATCTAACCTTCCTTTTTCACCCTTTTCACAAAGATGGCTAAAATTCAAGGACTGTTTTCCTCTTAGAATAAAGCACTGGGATAATGGCCATCAGAACATTGCAGTTTCATTAGTCAGCAACTGCAATGGGTTTGCTTTAAAGCCACTTTGCTTCTTTTAAATTTGGCCATGTGGACTTTAAATTCAACATATTTGCATTCTCTTTATTATTATTTTCTCCAGAGTATTACCCGAACTGTGAAGTTGTTTTTATGGGAATGGCAAACATTCATTCTATTCGGAGGAGTTTTCAGTCTCTGCGATTGCTGTGTACACAGATGCCAGATCCGGGAAAGTAAGACCTTGGCCTTGGCTTTAATTTTGCATTGCTCTTTTTTAAATAAGGAGTTTGGAGGTATCTTCTGTTTCTGGGTGACCGTCAGTTATACTCTCAGTTTCTGCAGATCATATTCCTGGTTCAGGAGCTGGGAGAACAATCCAGCCCTCCGAAATATTTTTAAATAATGCAGTGCAGAACAAACTCATCTCTTTTGAAAACAGAAGCATTGTTTTCTTATTTTTTCTTGAGACCTCTTCATTTTCTTTTTCTTTTTCTTTTTTTTTTTTGGTACTGGAGATTGAACTCAGGTCCTTGTGCTTGTGCAGCAGACAGCGAAACCACTGAGCTAAATCCCCAGCCCCTGGCCTTCATTTTCTATCAAATTGTTTTCAGCCCAAAGAAATTTAATTCTTTGGTTTCTGAAGTCACACTTGCCTACTGTGAACACTGAGGTGTTTTACCATGAATTCACAATTTACTCTTCATGTTTTAAAAGGGTTAAACTTGTCATTAGTTCCTTTTACGTCTGATTTCAATTTCTGAATTAGTCTCTTATTTACTAAGAACATTATCATTATTTTTATTGCTTACTAAAGATGAATGGTTAGCATTTAATGAGGATAGTAAAGTAGTACCCCCTGCAAGGATACTTTTTGAATACAAGATAAATTAGGAGCATTGCTCTGTAAAACAGATATAGACAGATAAATATTTAAAAGCCCCTGTTTTGCTATTTTGGGAAATCTGAGATAGTGCCAGAGAAGACAAGACTTCTTTTTTCTTGTGTTTGCACTGAAGCTTGTAGTTGTTTTCTTGGGTCCTGTACAGCAGATAATCACAAACACGTCAAATTTTGCTTCATTTCTTTATTGGATTTATTAAATCAAGTGCTGCTTGAACCACTTGTACTGACTCTTTGCTTGCTGCAAATGACAAAATTCATTGCAATTGCAATCAGCCCTGAGGGTGAAGCAGTGTCCTTTGGGAGAGAGCCTGACCGAGAAATGAGTTCACTACTTTCCTTTGGGATTAGCTGTTTGCATCTGATTTGCAATTCTAGGGCCGAGTGAGCAGCACCCTCTTTCTTAATAGAGCATAGAAAGAGGCTGGTTTAGGACCCAGGAAACTTGCCAAGAACCTGTGTGACCTTGGTCAAATGGCTTAATTACTGTGGGTCCCAGTTTTTCTGTTTGTAAAATACAAAAGGATCAACATTACATGATCTCTAATATCTTCTGTATACTAAAATTTGTTTGAAAGCTATTTTTTGCTGGATGTGGTAGCACATACCTATAATTCTAGCTTTTGGGAGGCTGTGGCAGGATTACTGTGAGTTCGAGGCCAGCCTGAACTGCATAGCAAGACCCTGTATGTATAGATAGATAGATAGATAGATAGATAGATAGATAGATAAAATTTTAGAAAATAAAAGCTATTTTTTGAATTCAAGAGTCAAAAAGCATGTTAATTAGCCCTCACCATATCCAAATGAATGTCTGGGGGGCTTTGTTAAGGTTATGCTTTGTATTTGCAGCAGATCATAATACACTATTAAAGCCTATCTTGTGGATAAAAAGAAGCTGTAGCAGTGATGGGGATGGCTCCAACTGCAGGAAGTATAAGCACCTCCCTTCATGTCTATTTCAGGCTGTAAAGGGCTAGGGGGGTAGTGTGCTTCTGCTCCAGCTTAAAAGCAACATAAGGATGTGCAGTCTCACAGCATCTTTTAAGCTGGCGTATTTATCTCTTAGTCATGGATGGCACCAACTGGTATTTCAGTCAAATTATTTCCCCATTCTATTTGGAGGAGGGGCTGGGAGGTAATTTTTGCTCTTAAGCCTTATCTTTTGGGTTCTTTCAAAACTGTGAGGAATGACAACAAACAGTTGACCCATCAGGAAAACATGTTTCTTGGGTACCTACTGAGAGATAGAAAGTCTTTTACAGAGATTTCAAATTCATTAAACAGTGGTACTTCTTGTACCACTGAGCTCGGAGGAATGGAGGACAGAGAAATTGTGTCAGGCCTCTTGAGGCACAGTATGGTTGGTATACAGGCTAATCTGTATGAAACCAGTGATTATGCACCATATTCTGTTGTCTGCTTGCCTGGCTAGGAAGACACTCCCCCTTAGACTCTTCTAAAAATTCACAGCCATTCCCTCAAGGTTTAGTAGATTTATGGCCTTGTCCAGTAGGCCTAGTCTTGGCAAAGCCTCAGAAACCCTGAGAAAAATATTAGTTCCTGCTTCTAAATCAGTGTCTGAAGGGCTAGATTTGTGGTCTTAACTACACACCTGACTGGATTTGGGGAAAAAAAAAATCACAACTCATTTTTGGGAAACAGGAACAAGGAGAAGCACTAGAAGCAAAATGGCAACACAGTTGAAAAGAAACCAAGTTTGTCAGTTTGTGATTACTTCCAAGCAGTAATTCTTGTTATCTGATGTTTGAAAAGGCCTTTTGAAAAAAGTACCTCTAGTTCCTTGCTGAATCCAGTCTGGGTTATGCTACAACATTACTGTGTGCCCATCACTATACTAACTTACATGAGTCTGATTCATCTTGTTGGACCCATCCAGTTTTAGTCAGTACATGTTCAAGACTTTTGAACAATGATAGGTGTTAGGGTATGGGTAATAGTGATGTTTCTACCATTGTTGCATGTGGCACCCAGCTTGTTAAAGTTTTCCTTACTTTTTTTTTGAGAACTTATTGCTCGTTGTTAAATATCTTCTATTTTACATCTCAGATGTGGCTCTCAGAAGATTCCAGAAAAAGCTACTTTTCTTATACTGTATACCTGCCTACCATGAACTAAAAAATATTAAATATTAATCTTCCCTGGGAAATTTTCCATTAAGATGTCAGAACCAAAAGTGGTTGCATTAGTTGTTCCTTTAAAAAATTTTTTTTTTCTTTTTAAGACAAGCTGTTTCTATGTAGTTCAAACTGGCCTTGAACTTACTGTGTAGCCCACGCTGGCCTCAAACTCAAAGCGATCATCCTGCCTCACCCCTCCCAGGTGCTGTGATTACAGGTGTGCACCACCATGCCCAGCTTTGACTGTGCTTTGTAAATGGAGATTTTCTTTTCTTTCTCTTTTTCTTTTTTTTTTTAAGATTTTCTTTTCTTTTGGTAGTACTATGTTTGGAGAGGAAAATTTGAGGGAATTACTTTTTAATTTGACAGCTATTGAATAAAATCCAATAAATCACTTTAAAAACCCAGGGTTTCCTTATCTGTTTGTTTTTTATAGTTGGCTTTCAGCTCTTGAAAGTACAAAATGGCTCCATCATCTGTCTGTTCTTCTGAAATCAGCACTTTTGGTGGTGCATGCTGTGAATCGTGATCAGCGGCCAGTGTTAGTACATTGTTCAGATGGCTGGGACCGAACCCCCCAGATTGTGGCGTTGTCTAAGCTCCTACTAGACCCTTATTACCGAACCATAGAGGTGAGTGTATCTACAGAATGGGAGTTGGTACTTCAGGATAAGTGGGAGAAACTTCTCTGCAGATTTTATGGTCAGTTTTGGGTATGATTGGGTCTAAAATTTAAGATAAAATTTCTGTGTTCCTAATCATTCTTCCTTTACCTCAAGGCACGTCATAGTGGTGCTCACCTCAGTTCTTGTAAGCCTCTTAAAATGGTACAGATTATAGGTAACAAGGCATTGAAAATAGACGTTTTCCCTCATAGCCTATCTACTTGGAAAACTTTTGGAAAGTCCCAGGAAAATGGGACTTCTATAAAATGATTTTGGTATTCATATGATAATGGGTCTAGATATTACCTGAGTGTTCTGGGGAGAAGGAGCCCTACTTTGCAATAACCACCCATTGAGTTGGGTTAAGGATTTGAAGATGTGAGAATAAACCATAACACATTTAAAATATATATGAACATTTGTAAAATCTGGGTGGGAAGGATTTTATAAACATGACTTTGTAAATGTAATACCAAAAATAAAAATTGCAAAATAAAAGGGGTGGGGGGACATGTAGCTTTTATATAGTGAATGAATGAGGCAAAAAATATAAAAATACACTCAAGAAAGACTTAGATGGGTACACAGTATGCTTCCATAAATATAGAATACAGTTCAAGGAATTGGGAAATTTCACTAAGTGTGTGTCTCATCAGGGAGAGAACTTTCAGCTGTGGGTCTGGGCTAGACGCACTTACTGGGAAGCTAGGAAAGGGGGTTGCTGTAGGTGACACCAGGCTCAGGACTGTCACAGTTTTGGATAGTCCAGCACAAATGGTCTCTCCTGGGTGCTTCCCTACAGGGTTTCCAGGTCCTTGTGGAGATGGAGTGGCTGGATTTTGGTCATAAGTTTGCTGACCGGTGTGGTCATGGGGAGAACTCGGACGATCTAAATGAGCGTTGCCCAGTGTTTCTGCAGTGGCTTGACTGCGTTCATCAGCTTCAGAGGCAATTTCCTTGCTCTTTTGAGTTCAATGAAGCATTCCTTGTGAGTTTGAGCTTGCGAATTCTACATTTTGGGAACCAACTAGTTTTGAGAGGATGTCAATACAAGTGTTTGTGGGCTAATTTTGACATGAAACTGTGCAGCCTTTTTAGAATTTAATAGAGGAGTGTTTGTTTTCTCCTGTTTTAATCTAAAACAGTAGTAGTAAGTAGGCAGTTGTTCAGTGAATCCAGTTTTGCCTTGTGCAGATCTTGAGTTGTTTTAAACTTACCTTTTAAAAGGGATGATAGAAACCTTAAATAGTAGTTAGAAATAGAAGTAATCAGAATGTCTTGTCCTCCCTCCCCGTACATTTACCAAACTTCCTATATCTCCCCCACATTCTGCTCCCTTTCATTTGATAAAAGATGCACTGCCGTTGTCCTTTCTTTCTTTCTTTCTTTTTTGGTACCGGGGATCAAACTCCAGACCTTCAGCTTGCAAGGCAGGCTGTAGAACCACTGAGCTAAATCCCCGGCCCATGCCTTTATCCTTTCTTATCTGCTCTACTGCCTAGATCCAGCATTTCTCCTTCCTGCCTTCTGCATCAGCATGTTTCCCTACAAGGTCACAGTGATCAGCATATAAACATGGCCTAGTATCCCACATCATTTCAAAACCCTTTCTTTGTCCTGCTTTCTCTCTGTCATTCCATTTCTCTGATTTCCTTTATAACAGAGCTCTTTGAGTCTTCTATACTTGATATTCAAATTCCTCTCTTTTTCTCTTAAACCCACTTGAGTCAGGCATTCACCATGCCATTTTGCCAAAGCTGCTTTTGTTAAAGTGACCAGCAATTTTCATCTTGCTAATCCAGTGATCAGTGCTCAGTTTTCATCTCTTTAATCCATTATTGTCATTTGACAATTCAACTCCTTTCATGAAATGCTTTCTTCAGTTGACTTCTAGCATTTAGCATTCTTAGTTCTTCTCTTAGCTCCTTGGCTAATTCTTTATCTCCTTTGCTAGTTCCTCTTGGTTTCTTAAGTTGTGATTATTGGAATGCCCCAGGATTCAGCTTCCAGACAGCTTCTCTAAAGATCTCACCCAGTCTAGTGACTTTAATTGCCATCAATATTCTGAAGAATCTGGGCCAGGGATTTAGCTCAGTGGTGCTGTCTCTTGCCTTCCAAGTGCAAGGTCCCAAGTTCAATTCCTGGTACCCCCCCCCAAAGTGTGTGTGTGTGTGTGTGTGTGTATGTTCTGAAGAATCTGTGTCCCTCTTTAGCTTAGATCTTTCCACTTAACTCCAGCCTCACATTATCTACTTGTGAATACATGATATTTCCACTTGGATATCTTTATCTATATCTGTCTATCTACCTACCTACCTGTTGTGCTGGGATTAAACCCAGGAGCTCATGCCTGGCAGGCAAGCCCTCAACTACTGAGCTGCACACTCTACTCTTCTTGGATGTCTTAGTGGCATTTCAAACTCAGTAATTTAAAGCTTAATTTAAACTCTAAAGCTTAATTCTTGAACTCTACATTTCCCCACCCTAGGAACCTGGTATTCAAGGGAGTCTTCCATATCACTATATGGCAATGCCAGCCTTCCATTCATTTAGGTCAGAACCTTTATGTCATCTTCAACTCTTTGGTTCTCCTTATTCAGTCTGTTATGTTTTGTAGCTCTGCTTTCAAAATATATCTGAAACTTAATTGCTTATTGCTACCTTTACTATTGCCCCATGAGTCCACACTACCATTATCTCCTGCCCTAATTCTGGAGTGTTAACTTAGCACAGAGGGATCTTTGAAAAAGATGACAGGCCATGCCATTCCCTTGCTCAGAAACCTCTAGTGACTACTTTTTTTTTTTTTGGTACCAGGGATCGAACTCGGGTCCTTGCATTTGGGTAGCAGGCAGCAAAACCACTGAGCTAAATCCCCAGCCCAAGTGACTACTTTTTACATAGAATAAAAACCAAGTCCTTAAAATGGCCTATAGGGCTACTTCCTTGTCCTTCCCTGTCCATTCCCCTAGGAGTATGCTTTCAGCTCAGACTCGAGTTGTACACTACTGACCTGCTTGTTCTTCCTTGTCCATTCCCCTAGCAGTATGCTTTCAGCTCAGACTCAAGTTGTACACTACCAACCTGCTCTCTCTTGTGCAGTATCGTTTAGTTACACTGGCCTCTTTGCAGTTCTTTAGAAATCATAAACATGCACTCATCTCAAAGCCATTGTGCTTACATTTGCCTTTGCCTAGAACATTTCTCCTCAGATACCCATGTGACCTGCCCTCTCACTTCCATCAGGTCTCAGCCATTGAGGCCTTCCCACTGCCTAGAACCTGCCCTGTCCCTCTTACCCAGCCTTATTTTCCATAGCACTTGTCACTTCTCCTTCACAGCTAGAGCAAGTTCCATCAGGACAGAAAAGCTTGCTGATTATTGCTGCATATCCAGGACCTATAGTCATGCCTGGGGCTTGTGAAATGCTCAATAATAATTTGTTGAAAGAATATATAGTTTTATAAATGTGCTTTCAGCTCAGACTTGAGCTGTACAGTGACCTGCTCCTGTATCCAGTTTATATGTCCTATCACTAATGAGGATAGCTGTTACCTCAGAAGCTCAGACTGCTTAACAGGGAAGCTAGGAGGAATGGGGTACACCACTCTGTCTTTGTCTGATGAGTACTAATGATTGAGATCAGACCCTTAGGAGGCTATTGTGTGGCCTCTTTTGCTCCCCAATCCTGGCAGAGTGAGCTGAAGTTCTCTCAAGGATGTCAGGGTAGAATTGCTTAGCTGGGCTGTCTTCTCCCAGAGAATGTGTGCCCTACTATATGATTTTGCCTTATTGGACTCCCCTAGGTGAAACTGGTGCAGCATACCTATTCCTGCCTCTTTGGAACATTCCTGTGCAACAACGCCAAGGAGAGAGGAGAAAAGCATACTCAGGAGCGGACGTGTTCTGTTTGGTCACTCCTTCGGGCAGGCAATAAGGCTTTCAAAAACCTACTGTATTCCTCTCAATCAGAAGCCGTATGTATCTTTCAGCCTTTCTTCTGATCAGCAGAATGAATTTGAGGATGGGACATGGGAACCTGTTTGAGTTCCTTTTTGTGAAGGCGTCTGTCTGTCTCTGGGTGGGCTGGTTCCATTCTTTCCCCTGTCATTTTTAAAAGGCCTGTTTCCTCTGACCTGGTTCTAACTGTGCTCGCAGTGGTTTGATGTAATGCACATCTCTCCTTTGCCATCCTAGACACAAATCTTTTCTGGCATCTCCTCCAGAGCTTAATGTATTCCTAGCATGTTTTAACTGATGAAAGAGGTACTTACATTTCCTGGGTGCTTACGATAATTCAGAAGACTGGGCCCCAGGCCCCCAGCACTCTTCCCCATGTGGCAGGTGATGATGTTACCTACTGTAGCTTCTCTTTCAGCACAAAACTGGCCCTCATGTTGGCATCCGTGTCTGTGTGATTTTCTGCTCACATGGAGAGCTGGCGCCCTTTAAAACTTTGTTCTCCAAAGGAGTACCTTCTGTTAAGCAGAGAAAAGGAAACACATACATCTGTGTGTCAGTGTTCCCTTTGTCAGAATGCATCTTAAACCTGTAAGAAGTCTAAAGCAGGCTAATCAGCGGTTAATTGCTTTGCTGAGCTATCAATATGTTTCTTGTTACATTTAAGGAAAGGTTTAAGCTAACTGATTCTCTTTCATTGTGCCTGCTGGCAGAGTAATAATACAGGTAGAAAATTCCCTCCTTTTTATGTGATTAATTTAAATGATCCTGTAAGACAGATCTGACAGTTTCTGCTGAAGCCCAGCTTTTATACAAGGGGAGCAGACAATCACATCTAACAGAATGACTCACTTTTTTTTTTGGCACCGGGGATCGAACTCAGGATCTTGTGCTTGTGAGGCAGGAGGTGGAATCACTGAGCTAAATCCCCGGCCCATGACTCACTTTCTTATGTAGTAAAAGCAACAGATCAAGATGATGAAAGTCAGTCTTTCAGTAAAGGTGACCTGAGAAATGGATCTTTAAAAAATCTTCTTAGATTTTCATGGCCACATATTGCCACATAAAATGCTAACCCTGTGTATCTGTGTTCCAGCCCTGTTGAGTGTTCCAGCTTTGTGATCTTTACACACACACACACACACACACACACACACACACACCGCAGTGGTACTGAGGATTGAATCCAAGGGTGCTTTTAACACTGAGCTACATCCCCAGCCCTTTTTAATTTTTTTAAAGGATCTTATTGAGTTGTCCAGAAGTTGGAATTTTCCTACCTCATACTCCTGACTAGCTGGGATTAAAGGCATGTGCCACCATGTCCAGCTTTCCAGAAATTTCTTAAAGATTAATTGGACATGGGGCCAGGGATTTAGCTCAGTGGTTTCGCTGCCTGCTGTGCAAGTGCAAGGACCCGAGTTCGATCCTTGGTACCAAAAAAAAAAGACTAATTGGACATGTTTAAACCTGTGTCCTTCCCTCTCTCCTTAGGTGCTGTACCCTGTGTGCCATGTGCGTAACCTGATGCTGTGGAATGCAGTGTACCTGCCCTGTCCATCCCCATCTACTCCTGTGGATGACAGTTGTGCACCATACCCAGCCCCAGGCACTAGCCCTGATGATCCTCCCCTGAGCCGGTGAGCCCAGGGGTGATGCCACAGACCTCAACTCATGTATGGCTATATTCTTGTGTGGGGACATGCCTAGGGATGGTCAGAAATGGTGATATTGTCTGGGTATACACAATTTTTCTTAGCCCTTTGAAGTTTTCTCAGGGAAGATAGTAAGCCTTAATTTTGGAAATGGGTTAGGCCCTGTTGCTACATTGTTCTATTGCATGCACTGAATAGTTTATTGATGGAGGACATCTGCTGGGCTCTTTGTGACCTCCTGGTTTGTTTTTCATCCACTGTTCTCTCTGTTCCTGACACCTTGCTCTGATTCGTCTTCTGAGGCTTGAAAGGCAAATGCTGTGAGATAAGGGAAATTTTGGCTTTGCCACTTAATGAGTTCATTAAATTCAGAATGATAGGTAGTAAATTTTTAATTTAAAATACTGTAATATCAAAAAGTCAGTGATGGGCCAGGAATTTATCTCAGTGATTCGGCTGCCTGCCTCGCAAGCTTAAGGACCTGAGTTCGAAATCTGGTACCAAAAAAAAGGTCACTATTACTCTACCACAAGCTGAGAAATATATCAGTATCATGAGAAACACCTTTTTAAGAGGGGCATAACACCAGTTTTGTCACAAAGGCACAGAAACATGGGTGTATAATACCCATGTTTATTATTTAGAATATTTCTATTGATGAATTCTTAATTTTATAAGTTTTATTATATTAATAAAGTATTGAATTTTTAATATTGAGTGTTCATAAAAAAGCATCAGAATTTTCAACATCAACTTTTTTTGGTGTACAAAGTCTAAAAAATAACAAATAAGTTCCTATATGAACTACAATGAAAGTACTAATAAAACTACAAAAAAAATTCTTTACTTCAATTATACTTAAGGCAGTCTTCACACATGACAACTACATGTTCCTTGCACGCATCTCACAGTAAAACATGGAATTGTCATGTGTGAAATCCCTGCAAAGTACAGTAGATCTATGTATGCTTTCAGTTCAGCTAGTGAGGTGTCATAATAAATACATTTTTGAATATGGCGCACAACATTTTACTTGTATATTGGTCTCTTGACTTATGAACTCCATTCATGAGGGCTAGTTGTAACTCAGGTTGGTCAATTGAAGGCTCAGGCTCCTCTACACAGTCTTCAAAGTTTCCTAATACAGTCAGATCTCAGTGTTCTTAGAGAAACATTGGCCCAAGAGTTTTCAACCCCACACAGAAAAGGATGTTGTAATGTTCTTTCCAGAACTCTTTAAGGGTTAAATCTGTATCTGACACCATCTCGAAGCACAAGTATCAGGCATTCAGGTTGTAACTTGAGAATTTGTTCATAAGTTAAAACTAAAATTCTGGTTATGACCCAAATTGTTTATATGTCAGGCTGGTCATTTCTTGAGGGTCTACTGTATTTCAGCCTTTGTGTATTTCACAACATCTTGTAGCATTTTGTCTGTTACAGTTTCCAACATTGAATACCAGTGCTGGTATTCTATCCAATAGGTTTCACCCCTGCCAAGATCCTCACTATATTTTCAGACCTAGTTCTAACATTGGATTGTTCTATTTCTCATTGTGTGACCATTTTGCAACATTTTGACTAGTCAAATAGGTACTCACATTGTCGTTTTCTTTGTCATCTCAATCAAGAGGTCGGCATTCTCTATGTCTGTATCAGTCGATTCTTGTTCCATTTCATTGTCACAGGAACTGTGGCTCACATGGGCAACTCAAAGTCATTGTCATCCTTTATCCATGCATGAGTAATCTGATGATTCACTTTTACCTCCTCCAAAACTTGTGAATCTGGTTTTTCATGTGCCATTGTACTGAATTGGGCTACTTCTACCAGAAAAATCAAAAGAAAACTTTTTTTAAAAAGACATCCTAAGTGCACAAAAATTTAGCAATGAGCATTTCATGGATAGAACACTTATTGCTGCTTTGGAGCTCCTGTACATACCTTGCTGTTCGTCTGCCAAGTGTGTGAATGCACAGATGGGTTTTTGCTTTTCCCAGGTGCAGCTACTGTGAGTCATGCCCACATTCCATTATGATAAAATACATGTTTTCATAACAGAAGAGTGGTGTGGGTGTATTTTGCCCCCTGTGATGCTCAGGTAAACATATGCAAAACCCGTTAGATGGAGCATTATGTGGGTAAAAATCCCGGTTTGACACTTTTGCACACATGCGCACACTTTGTCATTCATTGTACCAAGTGGGTAAACACAAAGATTGCTTCCTGTATCCCCCAGGCACAGCTACTGAGACTCGCAGCTGGCTACCATTATGCTTAAATTACAAATTTATAGTAGAAAAGTATGGGGTGGGTTGTTATAATCCAATGTTATGCCCATCTTGTTTTTTTGTTTTTTTTGTTTTTTTTTTTTTGGCACAGAGTCACACTGTAGTTTAGGCTGGCCTTGGACTCACTATATATACTCCAGGCTGGCCTTGGACTCTTGGCAGTCTTCCTGCCTCAGCCTTCCGAGTGCTAGGATTACAGGCATATGCCACCACGCCCAGCTGTTATGCCCTTCTCAAAGAGCTTTTGCTCTTAGCATATTGGTATGGATGAAGGATGCGGTGAGGGGCAGTGCAGATAGGAGGAGAACTCTTAGGGGAGCTTTTCTGCTCTAGCCTGCAGAGCCTGCCTTCAGAGATGCCATGGTTTCTTGTGTGTTATAATGATAAGCTTGTTAAAACTTATTGTCTTCTGCTTCCCTCTAAATTGCCCCAAAGATTCTCATTTTCCCTAAATCCCTCCCCTTTTTTAGGCTACCAAAGACTAGATCATTTGACAATCTGACCACAGCCTGTGACAGCACAGTGCCTCTAGCCAGCCGCCGCAGCAGCGACCCCAGCCTGAATGAGAAGTGGCAGGAACATAGACGTTCACTGGAGCTGAGCAGCCTAGCTGGACCTGGAGAGGAGCCTCCTGCTGCTGCTGACACCTTGGGGAAGCCCAGCAGGGTTCCAGGGGGTGCTGAGCTGTCTGTGGCAGCTGGAGTGGCCGAAGGACAAATGGAGAACATTTTGCAAGAGGCCACGAAAGAGGAGAGTGGAGTGGAGGAGCCTGCCCATAGGGGCAGTGTCAAGATTCCAGAGGTCAAAGAGGAGGCACCCTTAGTGAAGGAGAGTAGGATGACCATGGCTGAGGGCTCAGCCATTGTATTTTACCAAGAACCAGAGCTGGATGATGCTATTTTGAGGAGCCACCTAGATACCGCCCTGTCTCTGTTCTCACAGGATATTCCTGAGAAGCAGGATGGGCACAATGTTCCCAGTTCACTCCAGGCTCCCCCCAGGGGAGAGGATATCCAGGAGGTCTCTGTGGAGCAGTCGCACATAGGGAGTATCACAGAGGATGGAGAGGATGTAATTCCGCACATCCCAGTAGATGTTAAAGTTGGCTATGGTACCTCATTGTCTAGTTCTCTACTACCTTCCCAAGTCCCATTTGAGACCAGAGGACCAAACATGAACAATCCCATGAACATGTTAATAGAAGATAAGGTGAAGTCAGAAAGTGAGCCCCAAGTCCATCATAGACCTTGCCCTGTAATCAGTGGCAGGTTCAGTGGCAAGGACATGCTTTCCCCAGTGCTGGAGACCAGGCCTGTGGAGAGGACCCTAGCTGAGAGGCTCCAGGGGTTGTCTGTGGTACAGAGGACTTACCCTGGCAGCACTGTCAGCCCAACACGGCCTCCTTGTGCCTTGGTGTTAGCTGAATGTAAAGAGGGGCTTGTGTGCAATGGTGCCCCAGAGACTGAAAACAAGGCCTCAGAGCAGCCCCCAGTGCTTGGCACCCTTCAGAAGTACCCCACACCCAATGGGCACTATGCCAATGGGGAGGCTGGGAGGAGCAAGGACTCGCTGAGCTGCCAGCTGTCTGCCACAAGCTGTGGCTCTGCCCACTTACACTCCAGGAACTTGCACCACAAGTGGCTGCACAGCCACTCAGGGAAACCATCTGCAACTAGCAGCCCTGACCAGCCTTCCCGCAGCCACCTGGACGATGATGGCATGCCTGTATACACAGACACAATCCAACAGCGCCTGCGTCAGATTGAGTCAGGACACCAGCAGGAAGTGGAGACCTTGAAGAAACAAGTGCAGGAGCTGAAGAGTCGCCTGGAGAGCCAGTACCTGACTAGCTCCCTGCGCTTCAATGGGGACTTTGGAGATGAAGTGGTGAGTAGGTCATGGTTCCTCCATAGGTGCCTGAGGGGACAGGGCCCACGGAGTGTGGGTGCCCTTTGAACTCAGTATATGGTGACGGATACAGAGTTCTAAAAGGATTGGGCAGGTCCAAAGTAGCCCTGTTGGGCTGAGGATTTAGCTCAGTGGTTTTGCCGCCTGCTGCGCAAGCGCAAGGACCCAAGTTCGATCCCCGGTACCAAAAAAAGCAAAACAAAACAAAGTAGCCCTGTTGACAGAAGCTGGAGATCATCTTAAGCCACCTGAGTGGCAGTCTACCTCTTTTCAGCTTTCCTTATTTCCTATGTCCTGTTGAGATACGTACTTAGTGAAAGGGCAAGAACTAGCATGTACTATATGGTAATCAAATGTCTTCAGAGAGTATTCTATGTCCTTAGAAGATCGTGAACTCCTGGCCAGAATAACATTTGTAGGGCAGTGCCAAGAATTCCTGTCAAATTGTAGTGATTGTCCTGCTTTAGTAACTAGTGAACTGTTACCCTTCCCAGACATAGACTGTATCTTTGAAAGTGTAGTTATCTTTTAAACGAGTATTTGAACCCACTCTGTCTGATACTGGCAGTAGAAATGGAGAGAAGGGATTAGTTTCTAACACTGTTGAGAAGTTAGCACTGATGGTACTTGGTGACCAAAAATGAGGGCTCCAGAGGGAAGGTTTTCCAAGAAGGTTTTCTTGACAGACCTGTGTAGCTCTGTCAAGTACAAGCGTGAGCCAGGCTCTGAAACAGTCAGCGTACATAAAAGGCGAGCATATCTGATGATTTTCAATCCAGAGTAACTTTTTGTCTTTTATTTCATACTAATGATGGTTTCTCATTGTTCCAAAGAGTCCTTCAGAGAAATGAGGGCATAGCCAAAGCACTCTTTTAACTAAGTGGCAAGGTTGGATCAGCAGGCCCACCAGAGCAGCTGAAACTGGGAGTTTCCACTCATCCTGGTCACTTTTCTCCTCACTTTTTGAACCCTGAAGCCTGTTTTTCCATTCTAATATCACTGCATCCAAGCCATGTGTCCCTTTTTCAGTTCAGCTCAATCCCATCTGCAGTTGTTCAACACAAAGTTCAGTGACTAATGCATCTGCAAATTCAGCAGCCCTCGCCCTCAGGCTCACCCATAATTCCCAGGGCTCCCTTCTTCACTAAGCCCTTTCTTCTTTTGGGAGGAGACCAGGTTCATTCTGTTCAGCTATGTTTGTTTGCCAACAGACTTCAATACCTGACTCGGAAAGCAATCTGGATCAGAACTGTTTGTCTCGCTGCAGCACAGAGATTTTCTCTGAAGCCAGCTGGGAGCAGGTGGATAAACAGGACACAGAGGTACAGGCTCAACCCCTGCTCTGAGTGCCATCCATGCAACTGTTTTCAGTTCTCTACCCTCATCCCTGCCCCATTCCCCTGGCCAAGGAAGAGCATCGTAATACAGTTAGCCTTGAGCCTCTGCCATCTCAGTTCCGGTGAACCTACATCAAGTCCATCATTTAGAAGCCAGGGAGATTCATGGAGCTGGCCTTCTTGCTTTGTTGTTTCCATGAATTGGAGCCTTGCCAGTTCTCACAGTGACCAGGGTGCTGCTGCGTGCCACTTTATGTCAGAGGAAATTGGAGTCACCTCCAGGGAAATGCTTTGGACGCCTTTCTTGTTCTGTTGACATCAGACCTGTTGAGCTGGTGCCACAGGAGCCTCTGTGGTCCTTGTGACTCTTGCTGTGCCCAGCATGGCTCTATTGGCTCCAGCTGGATGGCCCATTTCCTGTCACTAAACTGGCCCCATGTGTTTTGCAGATGACCCGTTGGCTCCCTGACCACCTGGCTGCCCACTGCTATGCATGTGACAGTGCCTTCTGGCTCGCCAGCAGGAAGCACCACTGCAGGTACATTGAGGGTATGGTAGGGTGGCCTGGGGTATAGAGGCTACACAGAGCTTGCAGAGTGGAATGTAGCAGGCTTCCTGCTGGAAGTGTTCTGACTGGGCAGACCCTGGAGTCTCAACTTCTTTTGTGTTTGCAGAACTGCATTTGGTATCTTTGTTCTAGTTTAGGGTGATCACTATTAAATTTTGAAGTGGATAAATGGTATCTTTTTGTTTTGTCTCCCAGATTGGTGGGGCAACACTACTCAAAATCATTGTGTCTTATTCCCAGTGTAAAATGCAACGTGGCTGCTATGAACAAAAACAGTTCTCTGGCTATGGTCAGAGAACTTCATTTTCTTGCTCCTTCTCTGCTCCATGGTTCCAAGCTTAACCTTTGTGCCATTAATGAGCAGGCATAGCTGGAGGGAGTAGTAGAAATAGCTGAGGACAGTCTTTAATCCTAAGGGCTCCTAATTTCTCTCTCCTCCTAGGTTTGGGTAGTGAGTTACTAGAGATGCTTTGGCCCAGGTTGGGTGGTGACTATCTGGCAGATGTTCAGTCTTCTTGGGATAGGAAGTTTATCAGAATCATGCCATGGCTGACCCACACAAGTGAGCCTGGGTTGAAAATGGATCAACCTCTTTGTCTATTAATGATGCTTCTAGGAACACCGTCTTGCACCCCAAGCCCAGATGTCTTTGGTTGGCTTCTTCTCTGAGCTCTTTCTCCCCTCCTTGCAGGGACACTGACCGTGTTGATCAAACGTGGTGAGCATTTGCAACAACCTGTCTGTGATGTCTGCACATCTACAATAACTTCACACTAATGCTGTTATTCTCCCTCTCTGCACTCATTGGGTTGAAGCCTGGGGTTGGGGAGCACAGGCAGGCAGATGGGCTTGGAGAAATCCACAGCAGCTGATAGAGGAGACTATTGAGGGTGAGTCTCTACCTGTAGCAAGTGCTCCCCTCCTGACCATCCAGGTCAACCTGTCCACCTTGATTTTGACAAGAAGTGATGCTTCTGCAGGGACTGATCTTGTGAGGAGCCAGTTGGGTTTTCAGAGCTATTTCTTTTGGGTCAGTCATTCACTGAGATGATGCTAGTAACTTCCAGGTCAGATAGCACCACTGTTCCTTGTTTCGTTTTTAAAGAGAGATCTGAATAAAGATGCTCTACCCAGAGAATTACTTTAGCATGGAAGACTTTAAGGGAAGACTCCACTCAGGTCTTTCTGGGTCCCCTGAAAGAAGTCAGGTAGAAAAGCTTAACTGTTGAAATTCATGTCAGGCTTTTGAGCTGAACTCTGGCACATACATTAAAGAAATGCAGGCATTTGGAAATTTTCCTGTGTAACCACAGGTTCTTACTGATGCGTTTTAGAGACAGTTATAAGGTACTTACTGCATTTTAGAAGATGAAATTTTGTGTGTTCTTTTTACTTCTCTTTCCATTGCCCTGTGTCTACTACCTTTTCCTTCTGTAGTATTCTATCTGAGCTCTCTTCTGTGCCTGAGTGCTCAAACACAGTTGTGGGTTTGCATTCTGAATAGCATAACTGCAAAGGTAGTGAGTGATGCTGGTTGAAAGGTGTTTTTTTTCCTGTAGATGCCTTCCTCTAGTCTTTGATGGGCTGTCAGGCCCCTTGGAATTTCCTGTACTGGGCTCATTGGGATTGGCTTATACTTTAGGTCCCAGCGAAAGTAGGTTGTGAGGGAGGCAGAAACTCATCCTCTATCATGTCTCTTTCCTCTTAGCTGTGACAGATATTGGTCAGAATGTATGGACCTGTACTGCAGATGCATTAGAGCAGGGCTTTTGCTGGAGAGGGTGGCCTGGGCCTGTATGCAGTCAGGCCCTGGGGCAGAGCCATAAGTTTCCCTGGAGATACATAGAGGAAGGTAGTAGGCCATAACTGACTGGCAGCTGTCTAATAAGGGATATGTGTGCACATATGCTTATCCACACGCTTATCCTTTCACCTCTCCGCTTCCACTCTCTGAGCATGCATCATGGGCTGCTTGACTCCTGGCTTTGCATGCTCCCTACAGAGCAGTATTAGATGACAGCAGTCTGCTCTCCCAGGTTTTCCCTCTAAGCCTCTGGAGCAGTAGCCCTTAGGCAAGGCTCCTCACCTCAGCAGGGCTGGGTGATTGTCTTTCTTTTGTGGGGGCCCAGAGACAGCTTCATTTGACTTGAGATTGTCAATGGTCACAAGTTACAAAGGGGCCATTGCTCAGGTAGGTATGACCATTGGGTTCCTGGATCAGGACTTCCCATTGTGCTAGCAGCAGCCACTGCTGGAACCATTTGTTCTTACAAATTTCTCTTGAGCACATCCTGCTCACCTGATAACCTTGAGGCATTGTGGAAAGGCAGGCAAGTGTCTGTGACCCCAAAGTAAAAGTGAACTGTGATTCTGCTAGGTAGAGATGTCTTCCCTGCCCAGCGTTTAATCTCAGAGGAGTCTCCAGCACATCCACACACAGCAAAATTCTGTCTTCTCAGGTTCATTTTCCCACTGCATATCTGCTAGCTGAAACTAACATTTTTGTTTGTTTCTTTTCATCTCAAGGAATTGTGGGAATGTATTCTGCTCCAGTTGTTGTAACCAGAAGGTTCCAGTTCCTAGCCAGCAGCTCTTTGAACCCAGTCGAGTGTGCAAGGCTTGCTATAGCAGCCTACATCCCACGAGCTCCAGCATTGACCTTGAACTGGATAAGCCCATTGCTGCCACTTCAAACTGAAGCTCAGTGACCTGGGGTGAGCAGAGGCCAAGCTGCTGTTCCTCTGACAGGCCCACGCAGCCTGGGAAGACTGAGAGGCCCGTGCATTTTGGAATGGGGCCTGGAACCACCTGTACAGAGTGACAGAAATTGGGATGTACCACTGGATTGTAGATTGATTTTTCTTTCAACCCCTCTTCCCTTTTCTATCCTGCCTCTGCCTTCAAAAAAGAAAAGGTCCCTAGGTTGTCTTAATTTTTTTTTTTTTTTTTTTAATGAAAGACCAGAGGTTGCCAGGCCCCCTGTAACTGCTGAGCTGCCTTCTGTCAGGCACACTGAGGGATGGCATGATGCTTCTTGGTGGAGGAGACTGGTCAGAACTAGGAGTAGAGGCCTGAGACAGTGAACAGGAAAGAAAGCCAGTACTAATATTTGTGACCATTCTCACACCACCGCCACATCAGACTGGTTGGGAAACCTTTGCTGCTGTAGAGGCTGGAAGCATCTTCCCAAGAACACTGCCCCTGATGCCTCTCCCTCCTGAGAGAGGCTGGGCTCATCCTTTCTCACAGATACACAGGATTGGCATTTCGAGGGAGCAGCATATAGTGCATGGAACCCCCAAACTCATGTTGGGAAGGAAGGTGTGTGCTTTTTGAGGCACGTGAGAGGGGCTCGGGATGGGTGGTCAGCATGTTGTTCCCCATGGGATTCTGTTTTTAACTTGACCCAGATTGTCTAGGACTCCCTTCACTTTCAGGGGGCTGTTCCCTGGATAGGCTGGGTAGTGCTTCCTCAGTCATGAGTGCAGTCTGGCCACAATGTGGTGTCTTGCTGCTATGGCCAAGGCCTCCCCTGAGCCCAGGCATACCCAAGAGCCTCATTCCAGGGCCTGATCCCTGAAACAATCTCTCTTCCTCAGCCAGCACAGGGAAATCCAGACTCAGGGTTCCAAAAATTCCTATTCCCAAACCAAACAAATCATGGATCTCCCATTTGAGGGGTAGAATCAGCCTTTAAAGTTAGAAAGGTCCCCACAAAATCAGCCTTCCTTCTCCTTCCCTTTTTGGCAGCACAAAGGGGCCCAGTAGTTCCCCTGCCATACTCCTGGCTACCAGAGTGAGCATGTGCCCACTAGCTGGTGGCCGGCAGTGAAGGGTTAGTTGGTGACTTTGCAGGGTTTCTTAGAGAAGGGACATGGCTTGGAGGAGATTAAGGGTACTTGTCCTCAGTGAGATTTCATGTGGTCCAAAAAAGAGCCTTAAATCAAGAATATTTGTGGTGAAAGTGAGTATGGGGAAGGGTGGAGAGAAGTTTAGGTTTGTGGTCTGTAAGGTTGGCTCCATGTTTTGTGCCTGCCCTTGCTCTTGAGGAAGGGCCACACTTGGCTCTGCTGAAAACTGGTAACAGGGCAGATCATGGTGAGGTGTTGGGTGTGAGGTCATGAAACACTTAAGTTCCACCCTTCCCAGTACTCTTCCCCTTTGGAAGCAGTTCCATAGACAAGGGCAAGCTGTCTTAGGAAGGTGGCTCTGACATGTCCTTGAGTATGGTTACATGTGGCCCAGACACCTTCCCTGGCACTGTCAGTCCAGGCAAATCCCAGAGCATCTTGAGCATGACCCTTACTCCCACAACAGCAGGTTGCTCAAGAGTCCATGTTTAGTGAAACAGGGTGTAGTTCTTCTTCCACTCTATGTGGTCTTGTTGTGCAGGTAGGGAGAAATCAGTATAGTTAAAGATTGTGCAGTTCCTAGTGACAGGTGCCAAGAGGTTATGATACGGGTTTCTTGGGTCTGATGTACAGTGTGAATAAATGCTTGCAGCTTTTAGCCCTTTTTTGATCAATGAAGCACTTTTTTATTAATATTTTTCTTTGTATGTAAAGGAGGAACCGTAACTCTCCATAGCTGTACATATTACCCTTTTCTCCTAAAAAGGAGTCAGTGCTCCTATATTTTTCATTTTTTTGTCAAAGCAAGAAGTAAATACTTTAGAATTGTTAAATATATAAATAAAACGAATAAAGTTGAGTGTTCTGCATGGTGGCATTTGCTAACACTTTCTAATTCTTTGCCCAGTGATGTGTATCCCCTCTTTGTCCCTTTTCCTGGTCACAAAGAAGTGGTTTGAGGTGCTGTTGGGAAGTTGACCTTTGGCAAAGGAAAACATTAGATTGTATTTTGATTCTAGGCCCTGGCAAGGAGCCTCACCATGATGCCTAAACACTGAAAAACATTTCCTTAATGATTTTGCCCCAAGATGTCCCAAGCTAAAAAAGGGCAAAGCAATCAAGAATTGCACATCAGTAATAATTAAAACTACCTCTGACGTCTAAGCTTTTTTTTTTTTTTCCTGCTGCTCTGATTTCAGGGCGCCCAGTCCTCTTACCCACAGAGCATTAGCACCTGCCTGCATGCTGTGGGGAGCAGGAGGAGGATTTAGGAGGAAGAAAGTTAGGAAACGCTCCGCCTGCCATTCTTAGGTGAGCAGAGAGAGGAATTGGGAGCAGAAACAGAATCAGATGGGATTGGATTTTGTGCCCAGCTAGTGGTCCCCCTCCCTCTCTCTCTCCATACAGGGAGGAAGCTCTGCTCTTTAGATCTCTTGACTACTGCTTCCAGTTGAACAAGGCGATGACATCTAGTCACTTTTGGACTAGTTCTTTCTCTTAAGAGGTGGGTTTTCTTTCCCTTCCTGGCTGTTGAGCATCCTCATCTCTTGGTCTATGAATGAGCTATATTATGTAGTTCTACTGTCAGGAAAGTTACTGTTAAATACCACTGGCTCTGAGGTCATAGCCCAACACCTATGGTAAGTTGGCTGGGCTTTGAAGTGTCTTGCTCACACCCCCTTTCCCCCTGGGGCCCTTAACCTCTTGGGACAGTCTCTGTAGGGTCACTATCTGAATGTACCCTCTGACTAAAGAACATAAGCACTTAAAACAGCTCAGTCTGAAAGCTGTGGGTGCTGTCTGCCTGGTGTCTGAAAATAAGACTGTCTTGGGTGTCATCTTGAACCCTTCAGTCTGCCAACTGAACCCAGTGTGTGTTTAGACCAAGTTGTGAAAAACCTGAGTGTATGTCAGAGCTGTGCCTACACATAACCACTATTGACTTCTGAGGTCTAATGGTGTAATCCTCGCCAAGTTAAAACACTGGCATGATCTAGCAGGTTTGTTGGGGGTCCATAAATGGAAAACTGCTGGAGGCAAGAAGATGAACATCCAGGATACTAGCGAGATCTGCACAGTGTAGCTCAAAGGCAAAGAACTGCCCTGTGAAGGTGGTGCTGCATAGAGGAAAGCAGTTCTCTGTGAGCACTGGCAACTTTGTTCAGCCATCGTGTGGAGGAATTAGTTCTGAAGTACTGAGGCACTAATAGTGACCTTGGGCTGCCAGGATGGCCTCGTCATCTCTGAACTTTCCTTTTGTGGCGCTGTCAATAACCTTGTTTTTAGATGCCTTGGTTTCCTTAACTCGAGTCCCCCCTTTCCCCAAAACACAAAATGATATAGATGCCTTAACTTACTGGGATTTCCCAGTAAGGATGTATACAGCATTTTCTCCTATAGTAATTTTGCATAACTTTACATGTTACAGAGAATATTGTAAGAATTAAAGTAGTATTGTAACATCTGAAAGAATGAAAATTGTCTATCCTAGAATAAGATTATGAGCTATTGTCCTTGAGATAGCTGATATGTTTGTTTGCATGTGAGGCTAGAAGATCCTATCCATATAAAGTTAATTCTAGATCTTTTAAGAATAAGGGCTGATTTGAAGGTGCCATTGAGGGATGTCATTTGTTTGGTGCCTGTTCAAACAGGTTCAAACAGGAGCCCTGTTCCTGGGGTTGCAACTATACCCTCCCAAGTTGCATTGGCTGAAAGTAGGGCTAACAGCAGAGTTAAAAGTAGATGCTGGGCTCTGGAGAAAGAGTTGGGAAACTTGGCAGGAATCCCAGCTGTTTAATTTCTAGTCACATTCCCAAGAAAGTTGTTCAAAGTTGAGGTTACTGACAAGATCTCTCAAGGGCAGGACCAGGATGTGTAAGAGGCTTCCTTTCAGGAGTAGGGCTTGACTGCTCTAAGCCTCTGACACTTAAACATGAGTTCTGCTGTCCCAGCACATAACTTGCTGAAGCCCTGCCACTTTGAGCTAGGTAGAGGTCATCCACTGTGCGTTCTGTGCAGCTATCACTAACAGGCCTGCTGAACAGGGCCAGGCATGATGGGTACAGGCTGGGGAGGAGGAGCATCTTCTGAACTGAGAATTACAATGTTTTTAAATGCTGCTATTATATTTTATTTGCCATTTAAGTTCTTTTATATCTGAGTTCTTAGCTTTTCTTATAGTGGTCATAGCAGTTGCATTTGAATTGTGTTTTCCGTGAAGTTTTACATCAGCATTTAAAATTGCCCTTTGCTTTCCAACTGGCTTTTTAAAAAATGAGACTATGGCCCATGAGGATTGGATGCTGTTGAAATGTACTGGTATGTTGCTGCTGACAGTAGTTCTTGCCTATTGTAACAGCATTGAATTTGCTATAGCCTCACAGACTGTTTAAGTTGAATAAATATGTCACTGTCATCCACTGTTGTTTAGCCCCTGGATTTGAGTTGTCACTGGTTCTCCAATCAGTGCTATGAACCAGTATCTTAGGTGTGAAAGATGAGTTACCTCTGCCTCTTAGTCTAGGAGAAAGGGGCTCAGGAGAGAGAGGGCAGCCAATTCAGCATTTGTCTTCCATAGGCAAAGTACCTTGAAAACTAGATGTTTATAGAAGTGGGGAGGGACCTTACATCACTTACTTCCCTAGTTTTCACACTATTCTGCTGGACCATTGTAGAGAGGAAGTTCCCAGGCATATTCAAAGCTTTATTAGATTTCCAGTGAAGTGCTGATAAAAAGAAAGGCTTTGGTTCTTAAAAGCCCAAAAACCATTAATCTAATCCAGCTTCCTCCTTTTTCATTGAGGAAACAGGCTAAGGGAGGAACAAAGATTCTTCCTGATTACCCAATGAGTTAATAGCAGAATCAGAGTAAAATCTGCACTGACTCCCTCCCCTTCATTTTCTTGGGCTTCCAAAAGACAGCTTTATGTAAATACCTGTTTTCCCTTGGTTCCCTTTTGAGTTACCCAAGCCACAAATCTTGGAGAGATGCTTAGGAGTTAATACCACAAGGCTTAAATTGTGAGTCCTACACTCCCAACCCAAATCAAAGGCTTGTGATAGTGTGATCAGGTGTCTTTGTTTTTCTTTATCCTTTCAAATACATAAAAACAAATGATGCTATTCACATGAATCATCGTAAAGTGAAAAAACATAAATCAGATAGGGGAAGGAGTATAAATTAATATAAATTGATTAGTTAGGAACTGTTCGGCATCCAGTTGTGAATTTTGGCTGTATGAAATGGGGAAAATTGAGTTCATATAGATAAGTAGGTGTAAATGGTAGTATCATGGCTTAGTGGCAATCTCTGGTTACTGACAGATCTGAAGTAGATACTTAAGAAAATTAGGATACTCAACACCTGCTTTCAGTCCTTGTCCACTGTGTATCAACAACACTAGAGGTGATAAGCACTAGAATTCTCCTGAGAACCACTAGCATTGAGTTGTCTCTGGGCTTCATGAGCACAGCCTACCATCAGTGACCCCTGTGAAGGTCACATGCACTGTGATGGAGACCTTACTGTCAGGCCTTGGCAGCCTCAGTTAGTGTGTGTGTGTTAAACCTTTTAAGTGTACGTGTAAAAGATAGCTTTTCATGGTTAACATAGTGTTTGGAACAAATGCAGAGACCCACTGAAGTACTGGGAAGAACCGGACTTGGATTGGAGTCTCAGCCCTACAGTACCAGCTGCCCTGTCTGTGGCTATGTGAGGGACTCAGCCATTTCCTCCTCTATAGCAGAGGACTAGCATATAGAGGGGTTTGAACCAGGCATTTCATAAATACTCTGCTTTTCCCTGTCTCGTGGGATAAGGTGGCACATCTGTACCTGGCTGCCCCTAGACATTCTGATCCACTGCATATTAAAAAGAGTGACCATGTATTCTGTGTTTGTTTTAACCTTTCTAAATACTTACAAATAAATGATGCTCCCTGGTACCAAAAGATAAATAAATGATGCTGGGCTGGGGCATTAGTTCAGTGGTTCTGCTGCCTGCCTCGCAAGCTCAAAGACCCAAGTTCGATCCCTGGTGCCAAAGTAAATAAATTGATGCTGATAGGGAAAAGTTTTAGATAACTTAATAGATTGAATATTAAGGTAGCTGTAAAAGCAAAGTAAGTAATCTGTTCTTTTAAGATTTGCTTTTCCCATAACTCTCCTTGTTTAAGGTGAGGGTAATCTGACTCTTTAACCAGTAACTTCATTAACCTAACAAAGTTGCAATGCCAGGGTGAATTTACAATGTATATGTGCCTATCTTGTGTCTGTGACTTGTAAACAGGAACTGGAATTGTATTTACACATCAAAGACCACTAGGGATGAGCTAATGGCTGAAAAGGATATAAAAAGGGAAACGCTGAACAAAGGGGCACTCAGATACAAACCAGACGGGTTTCTGGCGGTCCTGCCTGCTTGCAAGTAGAAATTTTATTTTACCCAAATTCTGTGTCTCTGTGTATTTCTTTCTGGGATTTCTGGAACAATGCTATTAGCATGAGTCCTCTAAACTCAAATCATAACATCTTAAATCAGTGTGGAAGGGGACTGACTGCTTCTACATCAAAAGGGTATATTTCTTTACTTTGAAGTACTGTGGAGAATTTTATTTGGCAGTGCTGGGGTTGAACCCAGGGCCTCATGCATGCTAGGCAAATGGTCTGAGCTGCAGCCCCAGCCTAGCTTTGAGGCATTCTGATTGCTGTTTGTGCTAAATTACAAAAGTTATCACTAGCCAAAAACTAAAGTTCACATGTGTATTTTATTAAAATAATTTTAGCAGATGAAAGTATATGCACTGATGCTTGAAAATGATATAAAGGCAGTGGGAAGGGTGCAGAGAAACTGCTTTTGGGAGTTGAGGTGACAGA